TGAATGTCTTGGAGACTTTACTATTCCAATAAACGGCCACAGGTAAGATGTCAACGAAGCGCCTGGGAATGTGCTGTTAATGCTACCGTGGCAGGGGACTTCGACCAAGTTGCCAAAAATAGGTCAAACCACTTGTATACAACGAAAGGAGACCTTGATCATAGAAATGGCAGCACCATATTAGTTTACATGTCTTTGAAGGTAAGAAGACCAAGATGGTGTGGCCTTTTGTGTGGTAGCAGTCTCCTTTCGTTGTATAGAGGTTGTTTGACCTTGTTTTCTCAACTTGGTCATATTGGTATGAAGAATTAGAGGAACGCACCTAGTCCGGGGTCCATTGTATGCATAATCATTTCCAAAGTTGAACTGTGAACGTAGTACATTCCTAGACGTTTCGCCGGCATCGTCAATGAGTCTCGCCATTCTTAGCACCACACAACAACTCGTCAAAGAGACAAGTAGGGCCGATCCTTTGACCTAATGTGTGCTAAACAATTGTGGTATCTCTCCTTCTGCCCTGGGCTATTCGCATTCCCCATATCCTCCTATCACACCTTCACTGTTACACTTTTTACCATGCTTATTTCGATGTAATGTGGTGTGCTCCCTCGAGCAGCATTCATTAAAACCTTTCACACTCCACACTGGCGTTCTCACCCCCTTCACTCTTGTGTTGAGAATGTTGATCAGAGTCTGCAATATTGTTACGCAGTCCTCCTTCCCTAGGTCTTATCACAGTCTCTCTCTTGCCCCATAAGATCCATCTGCTCTCTCCCTGGTTCACGTATTTCATTTGACCCCTGCCACCCCATCTGTGCTACTCGAGGTGTTATTCGTCCTCGCCTGCGTTTGGGTGACTAATTGGAGGCTCAAGCCTCTGAGGAAGTCACATCGTCAAACCTTTGCTACATGGAGCACGCATTTGGCAGAACCTACTGTCAGCCAACTAGATCCAGTCTCCGCCGCGTCTATCATGTCTCTATTTCTAATGCCAAGTCTATAACTTGCTATGCCTTAGTCTCTTGTGTGCCAACCCACAAATATTGTGGTACTACAACCTCTATACATATCTCTGATTGGGTGTGAAGTTGATCCATGGTTGTACCTCACTTGTTTCTTTGGCAAGTAGTGGCTTGACGCTAAAAATGGCATAACTCACTTGTGATTCAAGTGAAAAGTTTTGGTATATACCAAATCGCCGGTGTGACGCTGGAAATTAGCATGTTTAATTGTGGTAGAGGGCCTCAGTTAAGGTGTGTTGACATAAGTCGCCCTGACTGAGGGATCAGGTTGCGGAAACGAGGGCATGCAACTTGCATAAAGGGAAAGGGGACTGTTGTAAACGCACTCTTGGTCGAATACGGTGGTCAAACATTGGTAGTCATAATGTATAGGCCTCAAGATGCCAGTAAATTTCACTTAACCTTGCTTCATCCATGCTGGACTGCAATTTGTAAACCTATTCAACCGGAATATAAGCATTGCAATCACTTAGAACAGCAACTACAAGTAGGCATAATCATCAATCTCACTATAGCATATGATGCGAGAGAGGCCTGATTAGCCTTTAAAGTTGTCTTCTCTATGACCCTCTGGCACCAGTGGCGTAGTGGTTACATGTCGAACCTGTACCCGGATTCGGAACTAATGAGACCCAGGGAAGCCGAAACCGCAGTTCAATCCAACCTGGGTGTGAACACATTTTGGAAGGCAGGACTGAGTAAAATTTAATGAAATCGTAAGGCCTATCTCTAATCGGAATAAAAGGAGACTCCGACAGGAATAGAGACCCCACCACTTTGCTCTACACATTTGCGATTAAACATGTTGCCTGAGTGTAAATAGTATTCCTTGACTGTCAATACTCGAAAATACATAAATATATGAATACACACAATATACAATATGCGATAGAATAAAACACAACATGTGTAACATAATATATCATTGCGGGAAAATTCAACTATCAGTTCTTCATCACCTCATGCGACCTAGGGTAGATGCAGCTGTTAGAAAACGACTGAGACTAAAATAGAGGTCACACCTTATCTACATAGTGTTCATTGAGTTAGTCACCACTTTAAAATACATAAATATACACAGTATACAATATATAATACATGCACTAAGCGTTACAATAAAGCATATAACATATGTAATATAATACAATAAACACTTATCAGTCCTTTATCACCTTATGCGACAGCTCTTATTCGTAATAGGAGGAGACTGCGGTCAAATTAGAGGCCACGCCATCTTGGTAGTCATATACGCGATTTTGCTTGTCGCTTGAATCCAACTAGTGGGCACCCGAGAGACAATAGACAATAGAATACACAACTAAAAGCGGTAAAACGCCAGACAGCGCCTGGAGGCTGCCCTTTCTGGCATGCCTACTCGGCTCACCTTATTGCGACTGGGCAGGAATGGAATATGGACACTCGACCGATCGATCGATCGATTGTCTCATAACGCGCCCCTGACCAGCAAGTCCACATTGCCCTTGAGTCACATGACTCAAACAAAAGATCAACCTTCTGAACTCGGCAGTCTCACTGTCCTCAAATCTGCCCGGCTTAAGTTGTGTAATTGCCCTTATGTGCCGGTGCGGTGAGGACACGCAGCTGTTTGCAGCATCACAGAGACTGACGCACAAGTATGCGCATGGCCGTGAATTGGGCATACGCACAAGGCCACATGAGTCAACTGAGTCGGTGTGATCGGTTGTTTGTGATGCGTTCAAACTAGCGGGCGAAAAAACGCGCGCAGGCCGGCGAAGAGGAAAGCAAGCCAGCACTGCTTAAAAGGCAGGGCAGGCAGGCACGTGCGCAATCGGTACGCTTCTGCGCTTCAATGTGCACAATACGCGCATAAATGCACATACAAATAGTGGGATAGGCAAACAGGCCTTTACAAGCGAGACCACAGACTTGCAAATCCAAGCCGGCAGGCCTGAGGTGGATGAGAAGAGGGAAAACTGATTGCTTGCAGACAGAAATGGGAGCAGACAGACGTACACGGAATGGGCGCACAAACGGAAATGCACAGGTCTGTCCACGAGTCGGCGCCTTTCCCATAATCAGGCCTGTAGACTGACAGCAGCACTGACCGTACATGCGCTTGAATGCCATTAAAGACGGCAACCAAACAAACAAGCTAACGAACAATACAACTGATATACGGCAGGGCAGAGCGGTGAAGAGCGTCGAGCGATGGGCAATGAGCTGTGAGCTGTGAGCGATTGGCGAGTGCGTAGGCGGACGCTCTGGCCCAATCAGGGCTGGGTGAATAGAGGATCGATAAACCCAATCGGCGGCACGCCAGCTGCTGTGTAAGCTCAGAGTCCAGTTCAGAGTGCGGTGCCTGAACGGTTGAGTACTGCCGGGCTCTCCTGTCACCTGTGCCAGCACGACCGGTCGGATGCGGATGCGGATGCGGACGCAGACGCGGGCGCGGGCGCGGACGCGGACGCGGCTCGTTGACCCTCTCCCGGTCCGTTCGGCTTCAGCCTCTCCTGGCCCGTCTTTCAGCCTCGTGTCTGCCTGCCTGCCTCGCCGCCTCTCCTCTACTGCCCCCGTATGCCTAGCCTCCTCTGAATAGGTGGGACAAACAAGAACACAAACACACACTAACGCACAACACAAAGGATAAATTGTTGTAAAGTTGAATAGTCTATTCTTAGGCAACACAACGATGGTGACAATTGTTATATTATTAATAGAAGCAGTAATAATGAGTACTGACGGTGGTTACGCTGGTGTTTTTGCTGGTGCTGCCGACAATGAGGTGGATGCAATTCATTAAATTATGGAACAATAGTTTTGGTTTCTTTGTCCTTATTCTGTCTTGGCCAGTGGGCGCTCCGTGTATACGGCAGCGTGTGCAAGTCGAATTTGAGTATGGCCAACAATGAATGAAATTTAATTAAAAGTAGACATGAAGACCAAGATGTCGTGGCCTCCATTTTAATTAATTTGGCTTCTCGCTAAAATTGCGCGCTAATTGTCTTCAGCCACGAAGCAGTCGTCCCGCCAGACAACAGTTGAAAATTGCATTCTTGATGCCTTGGGCTCCTGGTGGATGCGACTGACAGGAGGCAGACCGCCTTACTGTGGAATTGGATTTGCTATGCTTCATAAATGTCGAACTTTGTCGGCTGCGATGTGCTCGTCTTTGCAACTACCGGCCTGACGACTGGCGTGAGAGAGTGTAGGGTTTGCGAAAGAGTACATGTGGCAGGAGTATTCTGGGTTAATATGTATTTCGCCCCTTCCGGAGATTGAAAGTGTCCATGTCCGAATAAATTCAGACGCGTGTAAGAGCCGATCGCAAAGAAATGCCTAGCCATTCCTGCCAGCAGACACCAAGGGACAAGCTCTCAGGGATGAGATTAGTTGGTGTGAGAACTGATGGCTATATGAGTTGTTTTAACCCTATTTCGTCTAAGGTGATGAAGGACTGGTAGTTGAATTTTTCCACAATGGTATGATTAGAGCTGATGTTTTCCATTGAATTTCACATAGCCTCGCTTTCACGAAAGGAGTTCTATAAGGATAATTGGGGGTTTCGATAAATACTCACACCAAAGATGGGTAACGTCGTCAACTGCAATGGTGAGTACTACAATGGGATTCAGCCGTCCTCTTCCAGAGAGATCGACCTTCGAATATCTTCTTCATGCACTTTCATACGAAATGAAAGTCCCTCAAGCAGTTTTATATCAGAAGATTGATCAAAACCCAGTTTCTCTTCGTATGTACCATGAGTGCATAGTTGTCTCATCAACAATCATACGATAAATGGGAATTTGCAGAGGTCTTGTCTGTCTCGAAAGTCACATCTGCTCATATTTTTGAGCTGCCGGCCATTTGTGGCTGCGTAACGAAGTGGAAACTTGTTGCCTCATTCAGTTTCGAATCCCGTCGGGAGAGCTGAGAGCTAGGCGAGTTCGAAAGCATGAATCCAATCCAGCCTGGATGAGAAACCCTTTTGGGAGTCAGGCCTAAGAGAAAATCATTGGTGTCTTAAACCTGATTCATGAAGTTGAATAAACATTCCACCATCCACATCAAATGACAAGTTCTTATTCATGACTAAGTAATATTGTTGTGGAGACTTTCAATTCGTATAAAATTAAATTTCACCGGAAGACGACGGCTGACTTCCGTAG